AATCAGACAGCGGGGGATTTTCGGTTTTTTTAGGAAGAAACCAACCGGCGCGACTTTCGGGCGATTCGTCGGCGTCTCGAGCACGCGCTGCGAATCGCGCGCCACACACGGGACTGGTCGCGAGATGTTGTGTGGTTTCTAGAAACGTATTTTAGCTGTGGATTTTATTTACAAGATTTTTAGGGCTCAACTGGAGCATAAAAAGCCTCATCAAAAACCCTCACGCTGAATGGGGATCGTCTGGCGCTCGGTGGTGGTGGTGGTGCGCTTCTCGGTGCGCCACGACGTCTGCCCAGTGGTGGCCGGGGTTCCGTGACCGTCCGTACGCCACGAAGTCGTGTCTGGAAGTTGGTTTTTAGATTTTAAAAATAGAGGATTGAGATGAATTTAGCTATGTTAACTTAATAAAAATGGCTTACATTGCTGCGGCGGCTCGTTGTTGGTGCGAACGGTCTCGGTGCGCCAACTGTTTCCTGGAAAGTGACTGTTTTTTAAATGTACAAGTTTGTCATAGCTTAGTGGTAGTTCTAATTATATTCTGAAATAACGACGATTCTTTTGCGAAAATTTAGAGATTAAAAGAATACGCCCGACACACTTGCTGGCTAGTATTCTGAATCAGCGCTTTTTAGCGGATTTATAACTTTTTGATATTTTGATAAGTTGTTTTATTTTAAAGAAAATGCGTTAAATGAGGTTTAAAAAGACGTTAGCAATGTTTTGCGCAAATTTAGAGTTTAAAATATTTTAGGCGTGAAGTGGCGTAGCGTTTTTAAACAAATTTCCACTTTTAAAGGGTTTCACCGGTTTTTTTTGTATTCTAGAATTAGAAAACTAACTAGAACAATCCTGGTTTCATTCACTACGCTCCAAAACTTATATTTAATATAGATACAAACTAAATTTCTTAAGTCAAGTTATTTTTTTTCTCCTTAGGATAAGGATATTTTTTTTTTTTTTTTAACGTTTTTAAAATCTACTAGTTTTATTATTTAGTATTCTAGACTTAGGTTCGATTCTGACTTAAGTCCGTACGACCTAAAACGTATATTTCCAAATCGATAAAAAGCCAAATTCTTGTAAAACCGACCCCCGAGTGGGTGCTGCTGGAGCGGGGTGGTCTCAGTGCGCCACTGGTAGGATGACTGGCTGCTCTGCTGCTGCTGCTGGCTGCCCGGCAGCGGCGAGGCGGTCATCGCGCTGGAATTATTAGGTAATTAAGTTAATAAATTTTTTATCGAAAATCGACAAAAGGAATATAAGGATAAACGGAAAAGCAATTGATAGGGTAAGAAGACGAGGACTGTTTGTTTGTGGAAGCTGTTGCACTGTAGATCCTGGTGTGATAGAGGTACCGTAGTGGTAGCACGATTTACTCGAAGAGGGCAGTGGTGTGACAAGATTTTTGCGGGGTGGAATCCCAAGCACATATAGAAGCGGAAGAGGGGGTTTTCTGGCGGTGATTCATTGGAGGGAGAAGCAGGAGCAAGCAGATTCATCATGTTGTGCGTCAACTTTTGGCTGGAAGCGGGCCACAAAGAGCGTAATTTTAGAGAGAGAGAGAGAGAGAGAGAGAGAGAGGGAGGGAGAGAGAGGGAGGGAGAGAGAGAGGGATAAAGGATATTTAAAGTTGGTTCGACCTCATTTTGAGTATTTTCAGCGTTTTTAAGATAGTTTGCCGCAGACCTAAGCTAAGAGAGAGAGAGAGAGAGAGAGAGAGAGAGGGCAGAGAGCGACAGAGAGGGAGAGTTTTTTTGATTCTTTTAAGAGCAGTTTGAAAGCTCAAAGCTCTTGCAAGCCCCAGCGTAGCTCAAGCTTAACCTGAGCAAAGCTCGATTCTCAGCCCAAGCCTGGCGCTTAAGCTTCCCCGCCCCGAACCGGCAGGGCGCACCCCAACTTTGCACGCACGCGCTGCCCCACGCGGCGCGCCAGCACGACTGGTGCGCCCGCGTCCGCGCCAGGCGCACAGCACGGCGCGCCCACATCTCCCGGGCGGAAAGCCGAAAAGCGAGAGCGCCGACAAGCTGGCGGCTGAAGCAAGGAAAGCGGGCCGAGATGGCTGAGTTTTCGTTGATCGGCTGGACGGCTTCAACATGGCGGCTGCTGAAAGGAGGGGCAACGTACGGAAACGTACGGAGGTGTCGTACGTAGCTTGGAGACCCACCTTTGGTTTCCGGACAGGGCCTGGAGCATGGCGATGGTTTGCTCGAGTGAGGGAATGTTTTTGTTCTAATTCTGGCGCGACCGCTGGACGTTCAAGGGTAATCTGGCGTAGCGATGATGGAATCATGGCTTCCTATTTGGTAAAAAGGTTTTTACATTTTTTTTACTCCTCTGTCAGTCGAAAATCGCATCAATCGATATTTTCACTTATATTGGCGGGCAAAATCCAAGCTCGAACCGGCTCGGTGTTGCTCAATAAATACGGGATGGCTAGCCAATTTTCGCTTAACAATTAGAAAATCTTAAGTATAATTTATGCTCAATAAAACCTTTTCTCCGTCTCGACAGCTATCGTAATTTCTTCAGGCTCAAGCCTTGGAGCAAACCTTTCAAAGATTCGGAGATAATAGCAGCGATTTCCGGCCAACTTTTCACCCATTTCCGCTTTGTTTAAATCACTAAAAATTCTATTTAAAGATTGGAAAAATTTAAATAGATAGCTTAAAAATTCTCAATCAGGTCCCGTTACCCCATTTTCTCCAATCGCAACGTCTAGCTCAAGTTCAAGGGTTCAGGTTCAAGTAAGGTAGTCCGGATCCTGTCCAACCACTTTCCCCGGATGATCTCAAGGATTTCGGAGCAGCTCGCTTAATCCACATATGCAAATAAGTTTTTAAAAACCTCTCTTGGGCTTGGAAAACTTCAAATTGTTCGTTGATTTCTTCAAAACTGGGTTCATCAAGCTCGGCTCTGCCAGCGGAATTGGGCGTACAGGCGTATCGTATGAAATCTCTGGCGAGCCCGGTTTGATTGAAATTGAGGTATAGAGCTTATTAAGTTGGTAGCCGAAGCCTAAGCCTAAACTTGACCCAAGCCGAAGCCTAAGCCTTCCCTACCCCTTTTCCGTTTCCCTACTACTGACACTTCCAGCGGCCGATAACCTCCGGGCTATCGTCGTCATGTCGATAATATCGATCCGTATTATCGGTATTTCTACCGTTGCCTCACCCGCTTTTTTGTGCCTTTAAAATCGTGTCTCGAATTTGAATCTAATGCGCACAAACCCGTTGGCATAATCGGCCAGCAGAGAGATATTTGCAAATCTTGGTGGTGTTGTGGTAAAGTCGATAGTAGTGATGCGAACTTCAGGCCAAATTACGGAATATTTTTCGACTTCATTGTTCCTTTAAACGAAAATTTTATATCGTAATCGGAGGTCGGATAACCCTTTCAGAAGCTCAACTATCTTGAAAGCCTCTTCAGAGCCTGGTGCTACCGTATCCAAGTCAATAGTATCGATTCGTACATCCGGAAGCCAGAATTCTTTCCCTCCGAATTGCTCGTCCCTTTAAAAAGTAGCAAACGCAGAACAGATCCTAACTCGTTCTCCACTACTATATCAATTGATAGCTCTTCAAGGCTTGGAACTACAGTAGCCAGGTCTTTAGTACCTAGTCGTACATCCGGGAAAACTAGTATCACGCTTTCAGCTTCACTGTGCCTTTAAAATTTGGATTTAGAGATATACAGAGTTAAGTTACATTTGTTCGAGCCGAACTTCTTGAGAAAGTTCGTCAAATCTCTAGAGCTTCCGTAGCCAGCTCGATAGTATCGATTCGTACTTCCGGAAGCCACAATTCTTTCCCTCCAATTGGCTCGTCCCTTTAAAAAGTAGAAAAAGCAGAACAGATACTGACTCATTTTCCATAACGACGTCTATTGACAGATCTACAAATCCTGGAGCTACCGTAGTCAAGTCAATAGTATCGATTCGTACTTCCGGCAAAATGAGCGAGCGACTCTCGGTTTCACTGTCCCTTTAAACTGCGGATTTAAAAATATTGTTAGTTGCGCAACCTCTTTTCTAGCTCAGCCTCTTGGGCAACATCTTCAAATTCTGGAGCTACAGTCGTCATGTCAATAGTATCGATTCGTATTCCCGGCAAAACTATTGTCCGACCGTCAGCTTCACTGTCCCTTTAAAATAACAATTTAGAGATACAGAAAGTTAGAATCACCTTTTGTCGAACTGAGTTTCCTTAAGAACTTCTTCAAATCTTGGAGCCAACGTGGCCAGGTCAATAGTATCGGCACGTACTTCGGGTAAAATCAGGGTACGACTCCCGACTTCACTAGCCCTTTAAAATGGAAATTCAGAGATATAGATAATTAAGATAACCTCTTTTCTAGCTTAATTTCTTGAGAGACTTCCTCGAAGCTTGAAGATACAGTAGCCAATTCAATAGTTTTGGTTCGTACTTCCGGCATAACGATGGTCAGTTCCTCTTCACTGGCCCTTTAAATTGAAAATTCAGAAATACAGAGAGTTCCTTCTCCTCTCTGTCTTCTCAACTCACTTCTGGTCGAGCTCACTTTCCTCAAAAACTTCTGCAAATCCTGGAGCTGCAGTAACCAAGTGATTAGTATCGATTCGTACTTCCGGAAAAACTCGCATCACGCTCTCATCTTCACTGTCCCTTAAAAATTCAGATTTAGAGATCTACCGTGTTAGGTTACCTTTTTTCGTGCAGAACTGCTTGAGAAAGTTCTTCAACTCCTGGTGCTACAGTAGCCAGGTTGATAGTATCGATTCGTACTTCCGGAAGCCACATTTCCTGGCCTCTGACTTGCTGGTCCCTTTAAAACGTACGAAAAAGCGGAACAGATACTGACTCATTTTCCATAACGACGTCTATTGATAGATCTACAAATCCTGGAGTTACCATAGTCAGGTCAATAGTATCGATGCGTACTTCCGGCAAGACTACGGTGGGGGCCCGGGCTTCACTCCCCCTTTAGAATAAACTTTTTATGGACTACGTTATTACTGAAACCTACCCGTTCTTTGTGAGAATCTTTGCTGCACTGTCAATTTCTTCGTAACTCGGCTCTTTCAATCCAAAAATCATCCCAACCAGCTTATAAATTTCCGGGGCAATACGGGCTACGGTAGCGGTCCTAAAGGGATTTTAATCGATGAAAAGCTTAGATCAACAGGTTTAATCTATTATAATCGATTTCGGTTAAAGCCTTTCAAATAGCTTACTCATCCTCAAGTCGAATATTCAAATCCAACTCTTCTTCCAGTGGTCTTCCGATTTCTACCGTACGCCAGGTAGCAGTGTGAAAATTTGGCTTTGGAAGTCGAGCACTAGTGGCTTCGACGCTAAAATACTTTGTTAAATAGCTTAAAAAAATTCACTCAAATTTTAACGGAACTAGCAAGTCAAAAAATTGATTTCCAATTTTACCCCTTACCGTTCTCTTCCCCCAATCGCCACTTCCAGATCAAAGTTGGTTTCCCGGCCATTTTGGAGTGGATTTTCACGAATTTTCTCAACTTTGGGGCCCCTAGAAATGGGGATTACTGTAGAAATCGTGACGAAACCACCTTTCCGGTCTCTTCCGTTTTCTCCGCCTTTCCGGAGCTGTTAAATCTAGTCCAGTTGCTTCCGGATTTCGAATTTCTCCCCAAATTGTCCCAAAATTGGCCTTGCTAATTTATTTTTATTTCAAAAGTTTGCTAAGACTTACCTAGACATTTTTTGGAGCGCAAAATCGATATTTGTGGTCTGTGGCCTTGAAAAATTGTAGTTTCAAAGTTTTTAGAATTTTTACTTGATTTCCGCTTGGTGTGGCTCAAGTGGTTGTCCAAGTTTAAAGGTGAACGAGGCCAGGCTGGAAATTAAAGGCTTTGTGAAGTCACGCTCTCTCTCTCTCTCTCTCTCTCTCGCACTCTCTCTCTCTCTCTACCTCGCTTCCGGCTTTTCCCATCTAATTTCCGGGTACTTCCGCTTCTTTCCAATAGCCAGAAAATTATTGGCAACATGCCACCGAGGGCCAGGCGTAGGGGGCACCAAAAATTCGGTCGATTCTTGCCTAAATCTCGGTCTACCGTAATCCCCTGTCTATCGTACCTTTCATTTGCTTTGACGTTCGTGAAGGTCTCTTGGGACTCGTTCGGAAAATCAATATTCAAGGCAACGGCGACAGAATTCGGGCGCTAGTATTCACCTCATCGGATAGGAGACCCAGTGACTAGAAAAATGTGTTCTTCTGAAGGTTTCATTAGTTACCGTACCCCTCATCGCCTCCAATTTCAACATCCGTTCTTGAATACACAAATCCTGGCTCGAGGGCTAGTAGGGAATCACGGGCATACGGAATGTCGATAGTTGTGATTTGTGCTTCCTCGGAACCGCTGGGGAATAGGGAAATTTGAGGCTTGAAACGATAGGCCTGTCTCTCTCTCTCTCTCACTCTC